TAGAGAGTAATTTATGCATAGAAATTTTCCTTAAATGTGATGCCAATTTTTTTTTCCATTTCAGTTAAAGAAGTCAGATTCTTGATAACTGATGGAGATGAGCTGGTCTTTTGGAGAGTCTAAGATCATCATTTCTGGATGCTCTCTTCCCTCAACCCCATACTACTGAGATTCTTTTGAATCATTCTTTGGCAACGCTAAACACTAGGTAATGAAAATACATTTTTTCCCCCTGAAATAACTGCACCAGGAGCCAAGCACTGGCCATTTTTCTACATCAAACAAGGCTAGTGTTATACTACACATATATGTCCTGTAAATTTTCAAATGCTTTCAAAGGGACTATATATCAGAAATTTGGCATTGAGCTAATATATACTTACTGAAAATCTAGAACTAGCACTTCTCTTCCGTGAAAGGCAGCTATGAAAGTTGATATCCTAAACAAATAAGATATTGTAGATGGATATTTGGGACTTAAGAATTTTGTCTACAAAGACTTTTTCTTTAATTCAAAAGTACCAGAAAATTAGATTTTAAACTTTTAATTCGTTTGGTCCTTGGGCTTTGACTTGCAGAAGATTTTAATCTTTAAATTTTAAAGTTCTTAACTTCCTACAATAGAAGGACTTTATATTCAAATGTGGAGAATCTAGTCTACTGGTACTTTACTACTGAGACATCTTTATGCATTTTACTTTAAGTGCTATTACAATTTTTTTGTTCTATATAGCATATCAGAGGATCTACAATATATCTTGACATAATTTCAAATGGGAAGCAGATTAGGGAATTAAATTTTGCCTCAGATACAAAATAGTTCTAGATTTGAATTAATTTATTCAAACCTAGTACCTCTAGGGCCAACATCTAAACTTCTCCTCCAGTTCAAACATGATTCACAAAAGGGGGAAGTGGCCTTATCAATGAGGGAACAAAACTGTCTAGATAAATCTCTGAAATAATTAAGTAAACAAAAAGTTGGAAACCTTTTCCCTAATCCTAGTTTCTGTGAGAAATGACTGGCTTCTTTCTCATATCACCTCTGATGATCTGTAATTATTTATTTGGTTGGTAAATTCTGAATGGATAATGAACCAGACTCTGCTCAGCCCCACACTTAATTGTACATGGGAACTCTTCAGTTTCATGTTGTATTCAGTTTTGTTCTTTCAGGAAATTTGACTTTGTGAGAAACTCAGCACCTTGTTTTGTCCTCTCTTTCCTCTAGAGTAAGCCTCCTTTCTGTTCCAGGGTGTAAGGTGGGGGATACAGGGCAGGAAAGATCTATCTAACCTGCTGCATTTCAGATAGTAAATTCCTTAATTCTGGAGCTTAGTATTCACAAATTTATTACACCAACATCCTAAACCCCAATTCACCAAACTTTCATTTAACCTTTTTGGCTAGTTAAGTTTCTGCAGAAAACCAAAAAAAAAAAAAAAAAAAGTGCTTTTTGAGAAATTCCAATAAGGCTCAGCACAAATATGCAAATATAAGCAATAGTAAAAAAAAAATAGAAAATTTTAGATATATAAAACTAAATTGAACAAGTTAATGAAAAATAAACAAGATACATAAGATGTTAATATATTAAGTACATTAATAAAAGATATGAATATATGGAATTATTCCCATTCATTAATGTGAGAACTTAACATTAGAGATCTATTAATTTTTCCCTAAAATTAATCTGAATTCCAAACTTCAAAGTAATTCCAATAAAAACAAAAAATTATATTTTTGCAACTTTGTTCTTTAGATTCAAATGCATACCCAATTACATATTGGAAGATTACATATGAGCAAGATGGTTTTGAAAAATCAGAGAGGAAAACAAAGTAAGTTAGGCACATATTGGTATTGAGAAAATTGAATCACCATGTGGAAAAATAAAATCATAACTGTATTCCTCTATTCACAAAGATAAACTGTAGATGAATTAAACTATTAAAATGTAAAAAAGCCCAAATGTTTTAAACTATTCAGATAAAATTCAGGAAAATAGTTCAATGATCTTGCAATAGGGAAGAATTGAAGACCTCAAAATCACAAAGTATAATACATTTGAACTTTTTGTACATTATTTTCTATAAAAGAGGCAGCATATTATGAAAAGTTCTGCAGTGGAATGGCAGTTTAAAGATTAACATCAAAATAATTACAAAGAATTTACAAACCAAGACAAAAACAATAATCCAATAGAAAAGTAGAGAGATTAAATAAGGACAAGTAACTCAGAAAAAAAGAAACTCAACTAATAAAAAAATGAAAAGATGCTACTTGTATAGTAATCAGAAATGATAATTAAAACAATATCCTCCATCCACTATATTGGCAAAAACAGGAATTAGAAGAAGAAACTGAAATACCAAGTTTTAATGAAAATATGGAAGTTAGGAAAGCATGGGAGTAAATGACTACATTTTGTAAAAAATGTTTCATGGCATTTCATAAAAATTCAAATTTGTTTAACTATAGTAGTTATACTTCTAATCTCCTACCTTAGTAAAACTCAAAAGTAAAAAGGGAGAATAAAAATATTATTGAAGTGTTATTACTTCTAGTATCAAGAAATTGCAATCTGCCTGTATGTCAATGTAGCAGGGGAAGGGTTATATAAACAGACTCGATGTGGTATAGTGGTGATATTTAGAACGTGATGCATCTCAAACACAATATAGGATAAAAATAAATTTACAGAATAAGACATACTGAGACAATGTCTACGTAAAATTAAAACTATAATAAAAGGCTATATACTCTTATAGATGTGTGTTCACTTGTGATAAAAACTGAGGATAGAATACAGTGGTGCCTAGACCAATTACATGATACCATAGTGATAATACAATGGCTCAAATTAACCCAGCTCTTTTGCCTAAGGTTCAGCATATATCCATACAGTATACACTTTCAATCACCACAATCCTTGGGACAGGCAAAAAGGGACCCAGCCTCCCTCTCCTCTTTCCCTGTTCTCTCCCATTAAAGAGCACACAAACATCTCTATTCACTTAGATCCACTACTGAGTACCAAATGAGCAAATTCTATAACCACATTCACTCATAAATCACACATTTCAGGCCCAGAGAAACACTTCTCTTGCCTATTCCTTTGAAAGAAAAGTGTAATTAAATGCACTGCTTTAAGTATTATAAATCTTCTATAATAAAAACAATTCAAGAAGTACAAGAGGAAATGGAAACCTACAGCTGAACATAAGGAAGGTTGCAGGTTGGGATAGCTATGACATTTTAGTCTCTACTTCAGAACAAAGGTAGCATTTGTGCAACTCAAGAGCTTAGGTAAGGAAAAAAAAAGACATTAATTGTCAAATCCTTCCTCTGGCAGAATAAGACTAATAGATTCTTGCATAATGAATTATTTCCTAATGGTGCCAAATGACCATTTTCTTGTATTCCAATTGTGGCTCTGGAAATATCAGCAAATTAGTGAACAATAGTTTGTAACAGTTGCACATAGTAACCAAAACATTTTGTAGCACTATGCAATTCATATTTAATGCCAGATTTGCAGACCTAGAAGAACTTCATGAACATAATATGGACTCTTTACAATGGCAGTGTGAACTTTAGGAAAAGTTGAATCTCCAAAGGTCCCAAGTTGCTAACTGGACCTAAAATTCAGTATAAAGCCTGACAGCCATTCACTGATTCTACTCTGTGTTTATGTAAGTATCAGAAGCTAAACTTTGAAGTCCAGGGTCTGTTCCTGTTCCAACTGCCCAGATTAAAGCCTCCCCAATCTCCAAAGACCTGACCAATGAACTATGACCTACAGTCATATATAAACATCAACCAATCAGGAATAGAAGTGCTAGGAATGCTAACCATGCTTGCATCCCCCTCATTTGTGGTTCCTCTATATAAGCCAGCCTATCCCTTTGGGGGCATATTCCTTTTGTACCCAAAGTTGCCTCTTCCTGGTTTGCAAACTCTTTTTTTAAGCCTCCCTTTTAATTTTAAATTATTTCCTAGTGCATTTTTGTTGACAGCAGTTAGCTGGCCAACAACAATTAGAATGGTAAGTTTATCGTTACAAAAAAATAGTAAGATTCAGTTATTAAAAAATCTAAAATTCGGTGGTCAATCTTTAGAATAACTCAGATTTGTTTACGTTCTGAATATTTTTACATTTTGTTTTAATCCTTAGATCATTACTGTCAACAGAACATAAAATAAGTAGAAAAGGTCTCGATTATGATACAGTGAAATGCATGGGATGTTTATATTTACATACTTCTTTCTAACAGCACTGAAGAACTAGGGCCAAGAGGCACATTAATAAGGTGGTTTTAATTTCTAGCAACTTTTTCAGAAGGAGATCAATGAAAAAAAAAAAGGAAAAATAATTTTTATATTGGTAGATAATTTTTTAAGAAAAAGAAACTAATAATCCAGTTTCACATTCCCCCGCAAAGGTCAATGAGTAAAGACTGCAGTCCAGCCGGTAGCTTTACCAGGTACACTATCAAAGAAGTGGAACAACTGCAAATAAAAGGGAAATCTAACTCTAGATGCAAACAGAACCAGAGCATATATATTCTACCACTCCAATAAACAACAGGAAGGACTGGGGGCACGGAACAACCCGGGAAATCAAGCACAGCTTGTATCAAGAACAGGGTCCTGCGCACAGGGGCTGTGCCCGCAGGCCACAAGGCCAAGGCGGCGCGCATGCGCAGTGCAACAGGGCGCTGGGGACCCAGGAGCGGGGCCACCGCGAGAGGGCGGCGATGAGGCACACCTTCCCCACCACGACGACAGCGTCCACCCCGGCTACTGCAGGGCACACACGTGGCCTGGAGGTGGATTCCGACACCGGCCGCGCTGCGGCCCTCTGCCCGGCCTAGGCGCCCACTGCACGCACGCGCCCGCGGCCGTTACCACAGCAGCTGGCCTCAACCGTGGGGGCCGCCGGCCCGAAGCAGGGCTCTCCGCCCCCGCCCTGCCGTCAAGGAGGCCCACCCCGGCACCTGCTCACTCTGCTGGCCGAGCAGGACTCCGCGTCCTGTCCAGGATCCGTCGCTACCGCCGCCGCTACCGCCACCCCCTCCGCCGGGCGTCGAGTCTTCACCCCTCAAAAACCGCCGGGCACCTCAGGCGGTTGACGAAAGGCGGGAGGAGCCCCTCCAATTGGCACCGGCGGTCAGCAGCTCAGCCAATCCGTGCCGGCCGGCCGAGCCCCGCCCCTCCACTCTCGCCTCTGGGGTCTCCCAGGCCGGCCCCGAGGCTAGAGGCCCGGGAGGCTTCGTCTGCCCCGCCAATGGTGCGCGTCGGCCGGAGGGACCGGCAGGGGGCGCAGCGCAGCTGACCGGCCGCCCAAGCCCTGCCGCCCAAGCCCTGCCTGGCGTGGGACCGGGCCGCCTGAGGGCGCTAAGCGCTCGCGTCAGTCCCACTCCGGGACTGGCCGCCCCAGCTTTGCCTGGGAACACACAGCCCGCGCCCAGCCAGGCTGGCTGCTGCGAGGCCGAGGCCGAGGCCGGAGGCCAGGCACTGGGTACGGATTCCCCGCCTCCAACTCATCCTGCCCCGGGGCCTGCGTGCACGTTCCCTGCTTCCCTCCTACCTGCAAGTGCTGCAGCCCCAGCCTGTTGGAGCTCTGTGCGTGGGAAGGCCGTGGCCCAGTGGCACGTGCGCCAGGGCAGAACTTAACAAGGTATTTCAGCAGCCATCTATCTAAAGGGCAACACTTGTTTTAACATACTGGATTAGGCGGCTGCAAGGCAGCTCAGAGTGCACACGCTCAGCCTGCAGGATGGCCTGTGTTGGATAACCAGCACCCCTCCTACACACACAGATAACATTTATATACGTAAACACACACACACACCGTCCCCCTATAAAATTAAGTTTTAAACATACAGTGGAAAGCACTTGAAAAAGTAAACGCAAGGGAATAAAAACTGAGGACCAAAGCAGATCAAATCACATAGGATAATATAAATTATAAAGCATTTTAAATATTTTGTAGCCTTTTTTATTTGATACTGGGGGTTAAACCCAGGGGCATGCTTTAGCACTAAGCTACATCCACAGGCCCTTTTAGTTTTTGTTCTTGAATTTTGAGGAAGGGTGCAAACTGCTTAGGGCCTCGAGGTTGTGATCCTCCTGCCTCAGTCTCCCAAGTGGCTGGGATTACAGGAATGAACCACCATGCCCACCAAGCATTTTAAATATTTTGTTTAGGTAGAATTACAAACTGCCTGACAATTTTGTAAATGCTACTGTTGAACTAATTTTGAGATCTTAACCTGTAAATTCAGTGTACAAAATACATAGGTAATCTAGAGGGATTTGGAGATGTTTTATAAAATCAAAGTTCTCGATGTTTTTGAATTCTTTACACAATTTAGTGTTAATAACATATACATATTATGCATAATGTGAACTCGGAGTGCCTCAACCTCCAGACCTGACAGAATTTCATAATAATCTTCACATCTAATTTTCCCCTAATAGATTTAACATCCTTCATGATGGAGTAGTGAATGCACAGGAATTTTACTAATACACTGTAAAAATGAAGAGTAGTGATTTTCATCTTCCCTTTTTAGTAAATATCAATAAAGTACAATGTGGAAGAAAAATCTTATTTGTATTTTTTTAAAATGTTTTAGATTATGGTGTTTGAAGGAAAACCTTATCAAAATTTGGCTTCCGTGTTAGCTTTTCCTTGCTGTGATCAAAATACCTAAGTTCAATTTAGAAAACTTTATCTTTACTCACCTTTTCCAAGGTTCACTTCATGGTGGACAGACTCCATCACTTTGGGCCTGAGTGGAGGCAGAACACCAGGGCAGAAAGGCAAGACAAAGGAAAGCTGCTCACCTGTGGTGGCCAGGAGCAGAGTGGGAGGAACCAGGGGGAGGAGACATAATCCCAAGGCCCTCTCCAGTGACCCACCTCTTCCAGGGATGCCCCACCTGCCTAGTTACCAGTTCATTTGAGTTATTAATCCAGCAAATAGATCAATCAACTGATGAGATTACATTTCTCATAATCTAGTTGTTCCACTTCCTGCATTAACACAGGAGCTTTCAGGTGGCACCTCATATCCAAATTATAACAGCATTTTTTCCCTACACTGCAGAAGGTGGAACCCAGGGCCTGTGTATGCTAGGTAAATAACCAACTGCTGAGCTACCTCCACAGCCCCTTTTAATTAAATTTAACAAGCACTTATTGGAAACATCTCACGTTTCCTGGATGCCATATCACAATGGCCAAAAGAACAAGGAGCTTGTTGTAAGTTTGAAGGCTGAATTGACTACTTACCAGCTGTGGGATGTTAGGTGAATTACTTAAACCTCTTTGAAATTGGTCACCTCAGCTAACACAATGGGCATATATATTATCAACCAGGTAACATATTTTGCAGAATTAACTGAAATAAAGCACCTATCACTTTGCCTAAACAGTTAAAAAAGGACAAAATAAATGTTTCATTTCCAACAAGGGCAAGGCTTTGTATTTAACAGGATCACACACTGGTGGAAGGGCAGACTCGTACAATTCCACGCACAGGGGTAAGTGCTGTAAGTAGAATAATTAGCACTCCCCAGGTTCCTTAGAGCTTTCTTCATATGTAATGTTAACCTGGCATAAACTTTGTTTTTCAAAATCATATACAACTCTGCTGCTGAAGGTGAAGTTCAACATATTTTTTTTTTCAACATATTTTTTTTAAACCAAGAGCCTACATTTATCAGTGCTGGGAAAAGGATAAAACTTACGCATGAAATGATTTAAACAATTAAGTTTCTAAACCTTTGTTTTCTGTGATTAGACCACAAAAATTCCACTTAAATAGAGCACACAGACATTTTTGCACATAATACTTTAATACTTCAGTAAAATCATTTTCATTGCATTATATTATAATACATTTGGGGAGACAACCCAGCAATTGCACGATCCACTACAAAGCTTTTAACATCTAAGCAATATAGCTTTGACTAAGGTCTGAAAACTCTTGAGCTGTCTATTGAAGCTTTAAAGTTTCAAAATGTTATTTTAAAAGGCACCTTGAGGTTCTCTTAATTTTGATGATATAACTATTTTATGACCAGAATCCTTCTGGCAAGTGACTTTCACATAGATGAAAGATACTTTACATGCCTTTAGACAACCCATTTGGCAGCTCTCACTTGTACCTGAATAGTAGGGACAATTGTCTTGCACTCTGGGCTGGGGCCATAGGCAGAGCAGCCAAGGCCCTCCCACACTTGCTGACCTAATTGGATGGTTTATTAAGCAGCAGGAGATGCACCAGGGCTTCCCTGTCTTGCATGCCAATGTAGTTCACAGGCAAAGAGTGTGCAATTTAATCACAAGATTTTAAATCAAGATTTGGTGTTCTTAGATCAAAAGTTACCAAAGAAAGTCATTGTTCTTGGAACTTTAAAAACACAAAGTTGCAATTATCAAAAACAAACTAGTTAAAAGGCAAAATGCATCTTTTCAATACTGATTAGACAAGTGTCAACAGGTATTCAAAAATTTAAGCATTACTCCTGGTGACAGCCATCACAAAATCAACCACACTGGCTTCAGCTGTATCATATGGGTCCCCTATTGGAGGTTCTGTCCATCTCAGCTGGGTTTTCATGCATCAATTCTAGCACCTGCTGTCTGAAAGACCACCACTCAGCACCAAAAGAACTCCTCAGCCTCTCCATGGGAGTAGCAGATAACACTGGAGCAGTGGGCTTGGCTACTTGGTTGGAGGTGGTTTTTTTTTTTTTTTTAAAGCATTTAACATTTAAAAACTGGGAAACAAGTCCAGAAAATGTTAAAAATTTCTCCTATCTGAAGGCACAAAGAATAAAGTTGCAGGTAGCTGATAAAAACCTGACATATAAGTATAATTTAAAATAACTCAGAAGTATAAAATTTGTGAATTATTTTTCCTCAAGGGCTCTAGCTAATGCTGAAAACACCTTCTAGTTCCACTTGGTAACTGGACTTGGAAAAGACAAATCCTGGAATTTTCTGATGCTTAAAAGGAAATTAAAGTCACCTTCATTGTCAAAAAAGTAATTACAAAGGGCATGTTGCTTGAAATTTTATAGTCACCTGAAAATTGAAATAACTTAAGGCAAGATTTCTTAAAATGTTTAGGTAGTTTCAAACCCAAAGAGGATGGCCCAAGAGATAATGTGCAGACACACAATTACCAAACAAGAACAAGAGAAGAGCAGAGCAGGATGGGAGAGGAGGGCAGGCAGAGGAAAGGCAGCCTCGACTTTCTCCTCAGCTATTGGTATGGAAGAGACACTGCAGCAAAGCCCAGAAAGGCTGTGTGATGGCTAGTGAGGCAGAGGTCTCTGCCTATTAATAGTTGCCACTGCTAGAAGGCTACAGGCATTGGCAAGCAAATGAGGTCTCAGATTTTCCTTGTCCCAGGGCAGGAATGCCTCCAGGGACCATAATGCAGGTCACACTGCACATTTTGTTTACAATGGGCACAAACACACAACAGGACTTTAAGCTTATTAAATTCAGAATATTCCTGAGAAGGTATCAGCTATGGGCCTAAGGTCCCAACATCACAATAACAAATATCAGCTAGTTCAGGGACACATTCCAGACACATGCAAAAGGCCTTCCTAGCAGTAGGTGGGTCTTTCCCCAAAACCAGGCCTGGGTCCTCTCCAGAGAGGCACACACTCCCATGCACTTACCCTCCCAGGACCCTCCCCCAACACACTCCACAACCGAGTTGGCCTGCTGGCTACGTGAGGCTACTCATTAGACAAGGTGACACGGAAATTTCATGTAGAAGGCAGGAAGGGCCACTGTCAAGAGACCTTGCAAAGGAAACGAGTTCAGAACTTGGGGGTGCGGAAGGGTAGGTGAACCTAAAAACAAGAAGTGGCCACCCAGTCAGGAAAGACCTGCAGACCAGCACCTCAGCGTTCCAGGTACCCTGACCGCTGCTCAGATGAAGTGGATCCAGCTCTCTTCACACTCCCCACGTGGCATGTGCAGAGCGTGGTTGCGACATGTGAGGCTGTAGTCACGGCTGTCGTTGTTGTCCCAGTACTCAGCACCGGCCACTCGGTAGCGAAGGGCGAAGTGCACACGCGATCCAAGCTCTAGCAGGAAGGGTGGCACCGGGAAACCGAAGGCAAAGACGTCCTCCGTGCCTTCGGAGCCCGCCGGCCCGCGCCACCGCGCCACCGCTTCGTGTGCATTGCGCCAGCTGGAGAAGGTGTAGCGCACAGCCACTTGCTTCTCGAAGGCCACGTTGCGCACGCGCACCGTACCACTGATGCCCAGATCCGAGCAGGTGACCCGCTCCAGGCACACAAGCTGACGCTGCAGACGCTCGCCGAAGTCAGCGGCCTCGACAGGCGGTGGGAAATCTGGCACCAAGCACCGCAGAGTGAACTCCAGGTCCTGGCTGCTGCAGCACAGGTCCGAGTTGATGGCTAGCCGTGACAGCACGTGCAGCGGCACTGACGGGTCATCTCCCGCATTAAACACCTTGACCTGGGCCAACTCCAGGCCCAGAGCATCTGCGAAGCGCACGCGGAGCTGCCGGCTGCAGCCTGGACGACACGCAGCGCCTGGCGCACCCGAGGCCTTCGGGCGGCGCTCTGGGGAGCTGGGCAGTGAGCGCGCTCGCCTCAGGATGATGGGCCGCAGCTGGGGGTCGCAGCCCGTGGGGGCGGGGGCCAGCGGCGCGCGGCCCGGGCTCTCCGGGGGTCTACAGGGCCTCGGCTCCGGGGCTGCGCTCCTGTCCAGGTCCGATAGGCAGCTGAGGCTCCGGGGAGCAGGCTTCCGGAACCCCAAGGCTGGCGGTAGGATGGTAGAGCCTGGGCCTCTGGACATGGCGCAGCCGTCGGTCCGGCGGTGGGAGTCAGAACCGCGGGGCAATCTTACTACTCCTAGCCGGCTTCCTCCGTGTCCCCAGTCCTGTTCCAAAGCCACTGGGTGTCCGCCGGATCTGCAACCTTGCAGGGGACCCTGAGTCCGCCACGCCCTCCCCTCAAGTCCTCTCCTTAGGTCCTCCGCTTCTCCCAAGGAGGGGGAAAAAAGCATCAAGTATTTTCCAGGGCGCCGAGTGCTTCTCTGGTGGAGCTGCTCGGGCCACCCCGAGAGGGCAGGGCGCACCTCCTCTCGCTCAGCTGGGCTTACGGGAAGGGCGCGCGGCCGAGGGCGCCTCCCACCTCCCGGTCCGTGGGTTTCTCACAGGGCTGCAACTCCAGCGGG